TTGGACAGCACTGATCCAGATATCGATGTGGGTAGGTGAGGTGTATTTCTGCTATGGAACTGTGCATTTTCCAGTTATCCCCCCCTTAACTGTAACCCTTTTATGAGAAATTTGAACCCATTTAAATTAAGTACAGAAAGAGGAGAAAAAGTTCTGGTGGTGTTGCACTTTCTGAGAGCATCTTGCACATTTTCCAGCGCTCCTCCAGAGCAGGGGGACTGGCTCCCAGTGCTTTGCCTCCAGCTCTACAGGGTGCATGAGGCTGAGGGGTCCCCAGGGTGGAAAATGGAGGCAGACAAATGTTGCTGTTTTCCCACCGTTATGCAGACCCACACTGTCGGGCTGACTCTTTGGTCAGGGCTGTAAACCAGGAGATTTTCCTTCCCTGCTTTCTGTGGCCACCTTGGCTGCTTGCAAAGACCCATGAGCTAGAAGTTCATCATCTGGCCGGCATCCTCCCAAAGGTATTTTAAGAGTGCCGTGTGGAGCACCAGCTCGCAGTGCTTACAGCATTGTGTAGCCCTCTGGCAGCAGCAATTCAATCCTTATTTGGGTTTCGGCCAATGTTTGTTGTCCTCACTGGAAATCGTATTGATTATTTGAGCTCAGGAGCCAATTATGGCCGATATGATACTCACCACCTTGCGTCCCAGGATGATGTGTGCCATGGAGGCTGCTTTGCTTCAACTGTACCTGCCAAATGGGCCAGTGAGGCTCTGGACAGACCTCTGGCCTTTTAAATCACCTTTTAAATCACCCATGGTGTGAATAAGCAGTTTAACTCATGCCCTAAACCTTATTTGACACGTGTTTGTTGGGTTTGGTTTGAGCAGGGATTGACATTTGTTTAATATCTCCCTCAGGGGGTGTCGTGTCCCACACGACATCTGTCTGTCTGCTTGGTGGCACTGCAGATTTCATACAGCAGGGAGAATTTTGGATGAGAGAAAACTGCTGTGCCAACGGAGAGCGGTACCATGGGCTATTGGAGCCCAACAGCGGTTGGTACCTAGCGTTGCACTGCCAGGCAAAATCATACACGAGATGAGTGCTGTGCTTGGGCTATCAGGATGACCACATCTTGCGTAGGTTGGTGGGGTTCCATGCTAGCTACTGTGGATGAAATGACAGCTGGAGTCTGTGAACCTCCTCTGCTTGCCAGTGATGGTTGTGATGATGGGCAGCAAATGATGGCTAGGGAGCCTGCGGGCAGCTGAGCCGCTCCTGGGTGCCTGCTCCTGGCAGCAGGTCTGCAAAGTGTTACACAGCAAAACCACCAGAATCGAAAGGCTTCACCCCAATGCAAATTCAAAACAAAGACCCCGATTATAATAAACAAAGCCTAAGTCTGACCTCTTAGAGGTCCTTCTCAGGCAGAGGTGAGATGTCCCCTGTGATCAGAAGGGGGAGTGACCCGCACTCTGATAAACCAGTTGCAAGAGGATCTTGAGAACCCAACAGAGAGATTTCTGCGCTGATCTCGCAGTGCGAGGACAGGGGATGCTGCGTGTCGTGGTTTAACCTCAGTCGGCAACTGAGCACCACGCAGCCGCTCGCTCCCTCTCCCCCCGGTGGGATGGGGGAGAGAATCGGAAGGGTAAAAGTGAGAAAACTCGTGGGTTGAGATAAAGACAGTTTAATACGTAAAGCAAAAGCTGCGCATGCAAGCAAAGCAAAACAAGGAATTCATTCACTACTTCCCATGGGCAGGCAGGTGTTCAGCCATCTCCAGGACAGCAGGGCTCCATCACGCGTAACGGTTACTTGGGAAGACAAATGCCATCACTCCGAATGTCCCCCCTCTTCCTTCTTCTTCCCCCAGCTTTATATACTGAGCATGACGTCCCATGGTATGGAATGTCCCTTTGGCCAGTTGGGGTCAGCTGTCCTGGCTGTGCCCCCTCCCAGCTTCTTGTGCACCTCCAGCCTTCTCAGTCGGTAGAACATGGAAAACTGAAAAGTCCTTGACTAGTGTAAACACTACCTAGCAACAACTAAAACATTGGTGTGTTATCAACATTGTTCTCACCCTAAATCCAAAACACAGCACTGTACCAGCTACTAGGAAGGAAATTAACTCTATCCCTGCCCAAACCAGGACACTGCGGTGCTGAAGCTGTGGGGTGTCAGGAGCTCTGCTCTCCTGTAGGGGAAGTGGTGGAGATGGTGGGTTTGCTGGGTTGGTGCTGAAACATGGGAGATTCCTCATTTTGCTCTTTATTTATTACCTCATTCTGCCTCACTGAGTCTGCGTTAATGTTACATCTAGTGTTTTCAGCGCTCCTTGGGTTTACTGCATTTAACAGCTTCCTGGGCAAAGCACCTTCCCACGTGGCTTATTTGATGCTATTTAGATGAATTTGTTCAGCCTCAAGCCTGGGTTTGTTTCATTAAAATTTGGGCTGTACTTTTCCATCTGGCTGCCTAGTGGAAACAGTGTCCAAAATTGGTATTTCAGTCACTTTCTATATATTTTTTGCAAAGTTAATTGAATTATGAGAAGCAGGTTACTTAGGCAAATGCAATGGCCCCTGTCATACTTCATAGGGCCTTTTAAACACATAAAACCAAACACGATCAACACTTTCCCGTAATTACAAATGCAACGGACAAATCAGCCTTCCTGTCCCCCGAGGAAGAGGTTGACGAGGTCTTCTTGGGGCAGCTCCTCCAGCACCGCTGCTGCCGGAGTGAAATGTGATAATGCCTCCATCCACCGTGAAATACTGCATCTTCCGTCACATCCCTGACCCGAAGTAGTATTTAAACTGGTATTTAATGAACTGCAGCCAGGCCCACGTCACCCGTACAAAGCAGGAATATCATCTACTCTGTTTATAGAGAGGGAAATGAGTTGTGATCTCTTCTCGCTGCTGGTAACGAGTCATTAGCGGACTTGGGCACATCTGGGACGTGCCCGCTGCGGGTGGGACAGGTCGGTGAGCGCAGGACCCCGGGGGACGCGGAGCTGCCCGTGCATCCTGCGCAGCTGGCGCAGTTACTAGGTCAGCCGCGCTGCCAGAGGCTTTTGGGGATGAGTTTGCAGAGAGGAAAGGTGTCACTTGACCTTTCTGTGATTTAGTTGCCTGGCTGCTTTAATGGCTTTGGGATGCGGGAAATGGAAGTGTAAATACTGATGACGTGCAGGTGGCCTCGCCTGCGCCTGCCCGCTCCGTGCTGCCAGGGAGCAAATACATGTCCAAAGAAGTAACACATGGGTTTTTTTTCCTCCTCCTTCTTATTTATTTCACAGGCAAGGAGCAGAGGTGGGAATAAAGGAAAAAAAGACGTCAGCTGCTTATTAGATCAGCAGCAGTTGTTTTGAGCCCTAGCTTCTCCATGCCAGTTGATGTAGTAAGCTTTGTTTTGGGGGTGCTTTTCTGATGCGAAGGGCTGGCTGATCAGAAAATGGTATTTTGCTGCAGTAATTTACCACAAGCAACTTGCACTGGTCTCTCTGAGGTAACATGTTGTTGATTAATGCACAAACTTACCCACTCTCCCTGGTGTCTAGTTTTCATTCCATGTAAGCTCTGATTATTCAGTGAAAAAGAAACATTGGCCTATGAAGCTAAACATCAAAATGCAGAAGCAGAACCCTCAGTGTCCCCACTGTTTGCAGTGTGTTTGCTCAGGGTTATTTTCATGCCACACACAATTGAGGTTATTGAGGAGAGCAAAATGAACAGTATTTGTTATTCAGTTCATTTTGGGTTTTCAGCGCTGTCGTTGTCTCACAGCAGTGGTGCCTGGGGATTCAGGGCGTGTGAGGTTATGAATTTATTACATGGTGTCTGGAGCTGTACAGAAACAGCTCCCAAAGGTCTCGCTGAAGGAGATGGAAAGGATACTGTACGGAGGAGCCAGGAGTGGGTGGACAGAGTAGGAAACGTGGGTTCGGAGGCATGAAGTGGCTTGCCCACAGTGCCAGAGTGCTGACTGCAAGAGCAGCAATACTGGGATTTATGCTTTCGAGCTGCTGGGCTGCATCTAACCTCTAAGCAAAGTGTGTAGGTTTCTGCTGGGACCTCCGCTGTGTCTTTGCTGGCTGGATCTGCATCTGAGGTCAGGTTCCTTATGCCAAGTAGATTTAACTGGGATTATGTATTTGTAAGTCTGGTTATGGATCTGAACTGTTTGTTTCTATAATTTGCCAAACCAAAATCCAAAGTCCAGAGAATCGTAGAGAAGTTTATACCTTCATTCCAGAGTCCACGTCTGGTTTTACGGGCTGTTAATACATTAAGGTTTCTTTAAAACAGTTAATAATTTGTATTAAATGGTTTAGCTGCAGATTTTTAACTACTTAACGACAGCAGACTAAAAGCAAATGGCATGGAACTGGGGTTATTCTTAAAAAGATCTCCATTATCGTAGTATGTGATCACCTTGTAATCTCTAGCGTACATGTTACACCATCCATCCCTTACAGAGCTGTGCGGCTCTTGTCTTCTGCTTTAGAGATGGAGGCAGCAGCCCGCAGATGCACAGGGTACCTGCTCTGCATCTTCCAAGTCTTGGGCTAGTGCCCAGGTTGCTCTGTCAACCTCCATCTCATGTCCAGGAGAACAAAATTTGGGTTTAGAGCAGGAAAAAGGAAGCGAAAGAGACCAGAAAAGCTCGAGTGAAGTATTTGGAGAAATTGTGTGATAGAGGACATTCAAGTTAAGTCAAGAACCTCAGGCTCTTTCCACATGGGGAATTCATCAGTGCTGGTCACCAGCATCCGAGTGAATGGCTGAGGCTCATGTAATTCCCTGTGTTGTCCTTGAAAATCTATATGAATCCTGCAATGGAAGCTGATGCAATTGGTATATCTAAAAAGCGGCCCCGTACCAACCTGTGAAGCAGCGTGGGAAGCCCAGGAGGTTGGCTGGATAAGTGGGCTCATCTCATTCCTTGCACTGAGGTCTGTGCTAACCACATACGGACCAGACGGTGGACCTGGCTTTCTCCGCCTCTAAACCAAACCTCTGTCTTCCCCCTCTGTCTCTTTGCAGAGCTCCCTTCCTCGGAACACTTGAGCGTGGCTGATGCGACATGGCTTGCCCTCAACGTGGTGTCTGGTGGAGGTGGCTTCTCTGGCTCCCAGCCCATCGGAGTGACAAAAATTGCCAAGTCAGTAATAGCACCCCTAGCTGACCAAAACATCTCGGTGTTCATGCTCTCCACCTATCAGACGGACTTCATCCTGGTAAGAGGACATGAGAGGACCAGGCAGAGTTATCTGCCACCAGATGAAAGCTCAGTTGGGCAGTTTGAATGACATTTCTGGGAACACGTTGTTTGAGTAGCGGCAGAAGGACCAAAGTCTGCTTTCCCCAGAGCTCTGTGCCTTGTAGTTAGGCTCTCTGACATCTCAGGAGCTTTTCCCATGGGATGAGGCATTTGTTGGTACGGGTTATCTGGTGTCTAATGAGAGTGCTGAGCCCACACTGCAGTCTCTCCCTTAATGGAGGCACTGGCAGCATTTCCCACCATCACTCAGACACTGGTTTTCTGAGAGTTAGAGGAACATAGTGTCTGCTGTCAGGTTGGCTGATGATGGCCAAGAGGCTCCAGGGTTGTTTTGGGGATAGACAGACAGACTGTCTTTCTGTCTCACACACGTGTGTGTGCACTCACAAAGGGCACGACCACATAAGCTTTACTTCCTTAGGAAACAAGGCTGAAGAACAGGCAGTGCTGAGTTCTTGAAGGGATGCTGGAAAAGAGGTGAAACATCTCCCTCTTAGAAGTCTCCACGCTCTTTCCACAGTCCTAAAAGTACCGTGGTGCTCAATCCTACTGATATTTGCAGTAATATCACCAAATGTGCTTCTCTAGACACACATCCAGATAATAATTATCCTTACACACCTGCTGGCTCAAGCCGGAGTGGTGTGTGCCCCTTTCTGTGCCCTGAGGGTACATAACCTCCACTGCAGTGTATTCTCACTTTTGGTGCATACCATCACGAGCTAATCCTGTTGTCAACTTCAGGTACGTGAGCGAGACCTGCCCTTCGTGATGCACACGCTGGCTGCTGAGTTCACCATCCTCAGAGTAGTGAACGGGGAGACAGTGGCTGCCGATGACCTTGGGATAACAAATGGATTTGTCAAACCAAAACTTGGTAAGGACCAGCATGGGCTCAGCTTGCCAGGGAGTTGGTCTCCATGACACATGGGGGTGAAAGTCTGCCTCCTACCTTCCTTCAACATTTTGGTGAATGTTTATCCTGTTGTAAGATAATAAACTATCTTGCCTGAGCCTATCCCAGTTCAACCAAGGATTTGAGTAGGTGCTTAACTTACACTGAGCAGTGCTGATGAGCTCTGCTGAATTTGAGCCTTTTAATGCTAGTTTCACATCTCTAGCAGAGATGTGCCTTTTGTAGGACAGAAGGTTAAAGTACAGTTCATTTCAGTTGCAAAAATAACATTGTCTGTAGCCCATATTTCCATGTTTCAACATTTCAAAGGAAAATGGCTTATATAAAAGCTTGTTTAAGTATTGCAGTGATTGATGCACAGAGAATACTGTTGTTCAACGTTCACACTTCAATACCGGTCAGGATCAAGGCCACTACGAGCCCAGGGCTGTACAGACTCTTAGGATGTTTCCAGTCTAGAGGAACAAGCATCAAGCAAAGGGCACAATCAGGAAAAGGAACTACTTAAATACATATGTTTACCTACACACCTGTGTGTAATTTTGTGCCCGTAACCACACAAAGCAGGGATCAGTTATTATGAAGTGCCACTCAGCCTTGTCACTTGATAGCTATAGATAATCTTGTTTCAGAAAATGAGCCTTAAACAAAAAGCATAAAGGAAGGGCACAGCGAAACGCACGTTGATTATGCACATGTATGCAATTTGCTGTGTTGCTCTGTTTAATAGTTGCATGCCTAAATACCGGCTGCTTCTCAGCCACTGGCTGCAACGTGTTTGCCAAGATGCATGGCAGCTGGTTTTTAATTTTTGCAGGTATTATGGCAAAATAGGCCCCCAGAAAGGAAGGAAAAGAGGGCGTACTGCCAGCAACCACAGCCGGAGAAATGCCTTCCGTAGCCCTGCCTTTTAAATGGTGGAAGCCTGAATTTATTTCTACTTTTCGGTTTGTGTTGGCACCTCCTTTAGCTTGCCCCCTGTCTCATGTGGGTGCACCCGATGGCCTGAAAGCCCCTACGAGCAGAGAGCTGACCTGTGCCCCGTGCAGGGCAGGGTACTCAGGATGATCTCACCCTGTACCCCGGGGAGAACACCGCAAGAGCAGGTTGTCCCCAGGCTCTTCGGTCCCTGTCTGAGAGCCAGCAGGGCTTCAGCAATGAGGAACTTCCTTACAAACACTGTCAGTTTTCTCTGTGGCCGCTGCCGGCGCGCGGATAACACGTCTGGTGGGACGTGAACCCGCTGCAGATGTGGCTTCATAGCTGTGTGTGTCCGTGTGTGTCTCTTTCAGTTCAGAGGCCTGTCATTCATCCCCTTTCCAGTCCGAGTAATATGTTCTGCGTCACCAGCCTGGATCCAGATACCCTTCCCACTGTTGCTACGCTCCTAATGGATGTCATGTTTTACTCCAATGGGTAGGTCCCAGCAGGGAGACAGGCTCCCGGGGGAGGTGTGGCCGGCGCCTGGAGGCACAAATTCACATTGCTCCTCCAGGACGCCCAGGGATCTCCTGTGGCCTTATGCTGCTGTGGTGCTCTGCACTTAGGGAGGGAAGTTACACAGGCTCAAGAGGGTTGTCCTGACAGGTGGAAGCCAAATAGGAGATTGAGGGTGCCCAAAGACATCCGCTGGCTTTGGAAAGCTGAGCCTTTTCAGATTTAAGCTAAGAGTAGCAACGCGATCAACGTGCTGCATATCCACACATGACCGGAGGATGTACGGCTGGCTGTACTGCTGCCCATTGGTGCCTGTGGCTCCTGGCCCACAGCCTCCTGCGAGAGAACCTTGGGGCAGGGATGGGAGAGTTTTGTCAATTGTGGGGACTGGCATTTTTTTCCCCTGCAGAATCAAAAAAATGAAAAGCAGTGTAATGTGACAGGACTCAGTGTCACTTCCCTAAGTCAGGGTATGAATGCTTCTGGTGTCACTGGCTATATCTGCTTTAAAAACCTTCCTTTGCTCTTCTAGCCACAGTTAATGCTGTTCTCTTCTGTTTCTTCAGAGTAAAAGACTCGGTGGTGGGCAACGAAGACTCGGGACATATTCGCTTTTTCTCCTTTTCTCTCATTGAGGGTTACATCTCCTTGGTCATGGATGTCCAGACACAGCAGAGGTGAGCTTTGGTCTTAGAGTCTCCTGGGCCCAAAAAAAGCACCTGGGATGTTCTCAAAGGAGCAGGAAGCAGCTTAAGCTCCTCCATGTTAGTTCTTGGGAGCTTCATTGCGTGGGTGTCATGTGCCTGTTCACCTTGTCACTTTTCTGAGTGAGGTCTGGCATGTTAGTTCCAGCTCCTGAATTTTGGGCTTGTCTGTCCAAGCCCTCAGTGAAATCACAAGCCAATGTAACGTAGGGTTATCTCACTTTTGAAAGAGGAACACTGGAGCAAAGTGATTTTGACGTTTTTATTCCATTGTTTATTAGTTGCGCTTTTAAGAGCAAAACCCAAAAAAATCTGGTGTACGTGGTCGAAATTTTACTGCTAAAGGCCAAAAGTAGGGTGGGGACGTCAGTGATGCTGTCCTCCTGCTTTGCTTTTACACATGGCTGGGCTTGGTGCGGAGTCTCGTTGTGATGATAATGTACTGAGTCATCCCTGTGCAGCGGGAGCCCATGACTCGTTTGTCTGGCAAGGAGAAAGTCAGCTGGGGAGCAAATACCGTCCTGTTTGTGTGTGTGTGTGTGTGTACTTCTGCAGCTCCACGTCACAGAAGTCTCTGAGGTCTGGAGGCTAGATAGGATGCTGCACTGAGATGCAATGCATAGACTTGCTTTTGACACACAGTGCAGTGTTTGGTTTTGATTCTTGCCTGCCCTAGGGACTTGTTTTGCAGACTGTTAATTGCCCTCTTGAAAGCTGCTTTGACCTTAATTGGAGTAAACCTCTGTATGCCTTCAAGAGAGGCTAGAAGGTTGGAGCGGCAGCCTGGTGCTTGGGGAACCTGGGCAGCCAATTCCTTCTCTGTCACAGACTGCCTGCTTGACCGTGGGCAAGTCTCTTAGCCACTGGTCTTCCTTCCCCTGCTAAGTAATGGGGGTCTCTGCAGGGATCCCAGGGACCTCCCGGGGATGGTATGGGAAAAACCACCGATGGTGCTCATACACAAAAACAGCGGTCACCGTTCACGTTCCCAAGAAAGTAGGTATGGAAACATATTCTGTCCCTAGGTGTTTCTAAATGCGGCTCAAATCAAGCCTTCAGATTAACAGTCTCGACGTTTGTAAAGCTGGGGCATGGCCTGTTCCTTAGAAATCTTTTTCCGTGCCTCTCTGTGTGCCTATGCACACTTCCAGCATCAGATGCTGATTTACCATAGGACATCTGGAGGGGCAGGCAGGTGCATCTGTCCCCCTTGCCTTGAGTTTTCTCAGTTTCACCGAGCTGCCGCCGCCGCTATTGTTGGCTTCAAGCAGCGCAGGGATACAGGAACAGCAGCATCCCCGCAGGCAGAATCTGACACACTGCTGTGTTTTAATTGCCACGTTTGGTGTTCCTTTTCTTTTGCAGATTTCCTAATAATTTGTTGTTTACAAGTGCATCTGGCGAACTCTGGAAGATGGTGCGGATTGGTGGGCAGCCTCTTGGCTTCGGTAGGTAAACATTTGGGGGATCAGCTGGTGCACAGGTAGTCAGTCGCCTCAGGGCCTTCAAGGATGATGGAAAAATCCATCTGAGGCTGAGCGTTTTTAAGAGCCAGCAGCTTAACATGACTTTGCAAGCTGAGATTTTCAAACAGGAGGAGTCTGACTCCTACCTAATAAGTCAGACTTCTAAATATACTTTTGAAAGCGCTACATGCTTGACAGCTCCATCTAAATTGCATTCATCTGCTGGACTTCGGAGGTGGCTGCAGCTGGGTCTCTGTTTAAAAAGTGGACAAAAAGGTGGCATGGGAACGCATTGCAGATTCCTGAAATCGGTGGTCAGAAGGCACTGTCGTGCAGTCCTTGGGCAGCTCTGTGGCTTTAGTAGATCTAGTATAGATTTATAGCAGTCCAAGTGGCAGTCCTATTTGTAGACCTGTTTCACATCCAGTGCTGCAAACGGTTTCTCTACTTGAAAGAATATTGGACCTAAGTAGCACAGAGCAAATGCTTCATGTCTGCAGAAGCGTTCTCGTTATTTTTACGTCCCCTGTAATTTTAAGGAGTCCATTCTGAATACTGCAACAAAGGCCTGATCTTCAGAAAACACTGGGGCTCCTTCCCGTGGCCTCTGAAACAGTTACAAAAATACGGGCCTCAAGAACATTTCTGAAAAATGTTTGGCCAATTTTTATATTTAATTGCAACTTCTACACCAGACAACCAAAAGTAGCAAGAAGGAAATCTTCATGCACCTTCTCTGTATGCATCTTCAAGGCAAAACACGTAGAAGTGGCATGGTATATGTCATTGATGGGACATCAGGACACCTACAGGTCCCCTAAACATGCGATGTTTAAATGTGTTAGCTTACAATCAAGTTGAAATGTTCAATTTGGATCAGTGAAACTCAGATTTCATCTGGAAACAATGTACCATTGATCTGCGATGAATAGGACAGATGAACCATTTAAATTGGCGTGAAATCCTGTCTCGGGGGCTGCGGTGGTTTGTGGTCTAGGAACCATGTGTCCAGGCCGACCAGCGGGTCAGCATCTCCTCTCTCAGAGATGCAGGGCAAAGTGTTTAATAGCAACAACTAAAGAGAAAAATGGAGGTTAGGGGTGTATGAGACTGGTTTTGGTGCTTCCTTCTAGAATGTCATTAATTGCCTTTCTTTGGACCTCTGCAAATCATTCCAGTTCTAATGTTTTGTGCTTTTGGGGGATTTACATTTCTCTGTAATAAAAAGAAGGCAATAAAATCCAATGTGCAATGTATCGTGGTGGCCCAAAGAGCCTGATTCTGTGAGAAAGAACACATTTTACTACAGAGATCCCTTCTGCTTGGAGTTTGTGAAGATAAACTCCTCCCTGTATAAGCGCCGAGCTGGCGAGACCCAGGAGTTCTGCGAGACTGTGTGCCGTTCAGACAATGATTGATATTTTATCTCCCCCACAGATGAATGTGGAATTGTCGCTCAGATTTCTGAGCCTTTGGCCGCAGCCGACATCCCAGCCTACTACATCAGTACTTTTAAGTTTGATCACGCATTGGTGAGTATCAAGACAGCTTCTTTGGAATAGGGGAGATCTTTGCCCTGGGAGAAAACTCATGATGAGAAGATCATTTCCCATCTGGAGAGCTTGTTGGAGTGCCTTTGCTCTGGCATAGCCCAGCAGATAGCTCTCTCCAGCCTCCTGGCTGTCACTGCCCTGGGTCAGAGGCTCCCGAACGTAGCCCAGCCCTACCCCAAGGCGAAGCCGTGTCAGGGAGTGTCATTCTTGCAAAAGGCTGGTCTTGGTCCTTAAAGACCTGCAGCGATGGAGACTTCACGGCCTCCCCAGGCAGTCTCTTCCCCTGCGTCACTATCTTTTATTAGACGCAGCCACAAACCCTCTCCGTTTTCCTGCAAACGTAGTCGGAGGCTCCAGACTTTCAGGAGGGTGCCTTTGTGTGTGTGGAACTTTTTGGAGAGTCTCCCAGTAGCACACCCCTGCCTTCATCTCTTGGTACCTGCACAGCCCTAGCCTTGGCATTTTGAGACCCATCTGTGAGTCCTGATTAGCTCTGCTGTCCCTGCACTGTCCTCCTCGTGGTGTAGGCCTTTGATAAAGTAGCAGTAATTGGCAGCACAGCAAGGGGAGGTGATTTTGAAGCAGAGAAGAGTGTTGCCGTGTTTGTTCTCCTGAGTGCCCATAAGCAGTTGCAGCACAGTCATCAGCATGAGGGTCTTGCCATTCGTGCAGGGTTCTCTTCTCTTTTATACTGGCAGATATTTTACCTTCTAGGCCTACCTCTGCTCTTCCTTTGGCTGTATAGGACACCCTCAAAAATGAGGAATTTCCCTGAAAAGGGAAAATTGCTATGCCTGTAGCCACAAACAGGATGGCATTTGACTTGGAGCCCATTCCCCAAGTCCTGAGGCGGGGAGTCAGTAGCCCAAGCGCTAACAAAGCTAACAAAACTCAGCTACTTTGTGCTTTTCAGGTTTTTTTTCTTAAGTGTGCCCTTTATTGCGCTATACTTCTCCTTTCGTCACTGTAAATTCACTGCTCAGGCCCAATTTTTGACCTGTAAAAGCCCCAATGAGTTCAAGGCGGGTTTTTTTCAGCTTTGGCTTTTTTCAACTTTGGTTTTTCACAGTTGGTGCGAACCATTTGCAGCCTATAGGTCATGTGTGTAAAGAGTAAAAGTAAATATTATTCCAGATAGCAAAGGTCAAAGTGTTATATATGTTTGTCTTATTTTCTTGAATATTAACTGTGCTGATAAGATAAGCTAATAAAACACCATTTTAAAATCAATACTGTTAGCTTTGCCTCACATTCCTACCTGTTGTTGTGGCCCCAGGTGCATGCTTTCTGTGCAGAGCACAAGGTGCAGAGTGCTTCTAGTTGTCAAGCAATATCTGGAGAGCTAAGGCCTGTCGGTTAAAATAGATATTTCACTTAAAACTTGGGCCATACAATTGTGATGACTCTGCAGGCAGCTCCGCCTTTTAAAAGTGTCTCATCCTGCTGCATCTGAGCCCAGCAGATCCCTGCCTCCGAGCAGCTGGCAGGGTATTATTTGGGCCGTGCACGTGGTCTGCAGATCTTCCTCACTCAGATCAGTATTTTAGCATTTTCCTTCCTACTTGCTGTTTTCTTTTTGTACGGTTTTAAAAGCCTTTTCATCTGGGCAGTGCTATGCTAGCTGTCAAATCCTTCCACCATGTGGAAGGTGCATTTCAAGCCCTCCTTTGCTTGACTTTGCTCCGAGCGTGGCTGGGCTGCGTGCTTGCTGGCTCGAGGTTGGTTTGGTTGGCCAAGACCCTGGCCTAGATTTTGTCATGTTTTCCCTAACTTTGCTACCCAGACACCTTGACTTCTAGTGACATTTCTCAGGGTCTAAGTGCATCTTTAATCCTTTCTCTACATCCTCCCTTTCTTTATTTAAGGTTGTTCAGTACTTGTTGTCAACCATTTAGAGTGCTTTATAAAAGCTTGTTGTTCCCTTTGACCGGATCTTTTTTCTCCTGTGCATCTTAAGGTGTTTTTTGTTGCTTAATTTTTTATCTGACCTGGGTCTCTGGTGTGTCCCCTGGGTGACATAAGGTTGGGCTGGAGAGAGCTACGGTTTCCAGCTCCCTCTAGAGAGAGCAAGTGAGAAGAGTTCCTTTTCCAGGTGCTCTGCTCTCGCTGCCTCATGCTCAGAGGTATCTTGCTCTTCTTCACCAGCGTTTTGCATCTAATGAGGCTGAAGCTGTGTCTGGGACGTAGTTTGGAGCTTTACTTTTCCCTTCACAGTAGATGCTTTGATCTGCCTTCTAGCTGATAAGTGAACATGTTGCTCCGGCTGCCCTGGGGTAGGGATCTTTTCTAAGGGGCAGAGAGGGGTAGGACTTCTCTACTGGTGGCAATCTAGGATGTGTCCTACAAATCAAAACTGTTCGCACATCTGTCCTGGAGAAAATCCAGCCCAAACATTTGTGCTATGATTGATACTATTTCCTTGACGTTAAGGGAGTCAAATCATTTTGCAGCGAACGTAGGATCAGCCCATTGTGTTTAAGTGAGGAGGCGGGTCCGTGCAGGGCAAAGCCAGTTGGCCAGAACTGGCGGGTTCTGCTTCCTCCTGCTTCTGTACTGGGCTGAAGGAGCGTGCGGAGGGACCCGCTGATCGTCCGCTGGGGCTGGCTAAGAAAATGTGTTTTGCAAAATTGATTCCTATGTCTTTTCTCATTATCTTTCGGAGAGGCAGAGAGTCATACAGCTTCTTCCACTGCAGTGTTCAGTGTACTGGGAAAAACGATGGAGGGGAGGCAGTGGAGAGTCCCGTCTCAAAGTCCTGTTCCCTGTGCTGGAGGTTTGCTGGGGTTTTCTTCCTAACCCAGAAGAATTTGCTGTATGGTTGTTTTAAGATTATTTTCTTCCTTTCTCAGCTGAGACTTGTTCACACATCATCAGACTTAGCCGCTCCTATTCCATCTTCCCATTGGAAAATTGAACGTTTTTCTTGTTATTTCTCATGGGTTTTTTCCCTCGGTTTTGTTAAAAGCCTTGCAGAAAAATCACAGTCCAGTTGTATTTCCACTGTCTGAGCTCTGGAGGGTGTCCAATGAATCCAGGTATTGTACTGCTGGCCAAGGACTCAAGTACCTCACAGAGGAGACAGTCCCTTCTTCAACTTACTTAACGTGAATTATTTTGGCTTCTTGCAGCAGCTCACAGATAATTTATTTTTCCCTCAGTCCCCTTTCCACTTTCCAAGAGCCGTGAGCTGCCTGTCCCCTGAGTGTCGTCTTTGAGTTTATGTAACGGTCAGATGCCTCTTTTCTGTCTGATGTAACTTTACTTGTGATATTCTTTTCTACCGGTGACAGTCGCTCTGAGATCTTTTGCATCTTCTGTTACGAGGATTTTTTTCTTGCAGTAAGTGTGAAAAGACACCCACTAATAATTTTGTGTATGGACTTCTATGGTTAAGTCTCATCACAAGACTGGATGAGAAAGAGGTGCTACGCCGCACCATCTGGGACCCCCCCACCACAAGCAGACTGGCAGTTCTCTTCTCCTTTTGATGGACACGTTCCTCTGTCACCCGACATGGTCTCCCCACCCACACTTATGGGTCCCAAACCTGTAGGATGCCCCGGAGAGCCTCATGGAGCCCTTAGGCAGCCACATAAATCCATCAGCACAGGCACCTTGCATGAGCGAGCTCCTGGCGTACAAATGCTTTACCAACGAAAGGAAGGGAAAGGAGGGGAGAGGAAGAGGAGAAGGAAAGGAAAACCCCAAAACAGTTGCCTGCCCACCAGCACCCACCATACAGACAGCAAACCAGCCAGATCTCACTTACAAAGTTTGCTCCTAGGGGTACCATGGGTTAACGCTTCTGAACCGGAGGGTGTCTCTTGTAGGTGGAGTCCTTTCTCAGCGGAGTTCAGGTGTCCAACAGCAAAGTACCTGGCTCCTTGGGACTGTTCTGGCTTCGTCTCGTGCCGCTCCTTTCCTTGTCGTCCCTCCCTGGCTTTTGCTAGAGCATGACCTTTCTTTTTGTTTTCTTGCAGGTACCTGAAGAAAATATAAACGGTGTGGTCAATGCACTCCAAGTCAGTCAAGCTGAAAAGCATTAGAAATCTTCTGAGCTGGTTCCAGATGCTTTTTATTATTATAATTATTATTATTATTATTATAATTATTATTATTATTCTTTTTTTCTCACAGTATTTCTTGAAAAATCTTGGTCAATGCACTCCAAGTCAGTCAAGCTGAAAAGCATTAGAAATCTTCTCTTCTGAGCTCAGATGCTTTTTATTATTATAATTATTATTATTATTATTATAATTATTATTATTATTCTTTTCTTTTCACAGTATTTCTTGAAAAATCTTTGTTTTAATTATTATTATTATTATTATTATTGTTATTTTATTAAATTTATGAATGAGGGGCAGGAGGAAAGGGAGTCCAGACGGTTTCCTGATGTTCAGCTCCAAGGCGAAGTGTAACCTGCCCGTGTTCTCGGTGTGGAAGGAGCTGCCCGGGGACACCCGTCTCTCCCCGAAGCGCGGCGGCGCGGATGGCCGCATGCGCGGGCGCTCTGCCGAGAGCTTCGCGGCACGTCTGGGATGGATGGGCCGCTTGCTCAGAGAGAGCCCTGAAAACCGTAAACAAAATGAAATGTGGAATTAAACAGAAAAGACGTCGCATAGTGCTGGCTTGTCTCCTCGCATCAGACTTTCTGAGGACTGTCCATCATTGCGTATGTTGAGATAGGATGGGAATTGGGTTCTGTTTCCCCTGGCAAAACTGTTTGGCATTGGAAAAGGGGAAAATATCCAGTTGTTTGAATTTTCCCTTTCTCCCTGCAGCCAAAACCTGGCTGCTCCGAGAAAACCTGGGCAGGGGGAGCATTGCTCTGGCCCACCTCCTGGCAGATGGTGCCACCAAGACTTCCGTCTGCATTGAAACTTGGCTGTTTTAGCTCAGTTTTCCCCAGTCACCCTCCCCCCGCCCCCAGCATCCTCCCGCCATGTCCCCTGCTCCAGGGCAGCTGCTGTCCCCTCGCCCCCACATCAGAGCCATCCCCGAGCCCTTGTCCCCTAGGGCCAGCAAGAGGAGGGAGGCATCTCTTCTCCTGTCCCCGTGGGCTTTTTCCCATCCACTTCGTACACATTCATGGGGACATGAAGCGTTGCCCGGGGTCCCCGGGTAGCTGCTCCTGCACATCCCAGGCTACCTCGGCCAAGAGCCGCAGCGGGCTGTCCCCACCAGGGCCAGGAAGGTGCCCAAGCCCTGCTGGGACCCTCCTGCAATTTTTTGTCAGCTCCTTCATCACCAGGGTGGATCACCACTGCCAGCTGGGGTTTTTCCATTGGGTCCGGTGGGCAGCCCTTCAAAAGTAGAAGGGTGCTGAAAACGCATAAAACCCGAGACATTTCCTGCTGGTCCTGTCGCAAGAAGATGATGTGGGCTTTTCCCGTGGGGCAGCAGGAGTGTGTTTGCTCCTGGCTTGAGCCAAAGCTGTGGGCCAGCAGGAGCCAGGCATCGAGGCCCATGGTGGCACCTGCCTCTGAATCGTGCCCGCGGCCACTCCCAGCACCGTGGAAGGCAGCGGTGACTGGTGCCGGGAGAGCAAGCGTCACCCAAGACGTAGGTACCAGCAGCCTGCACCGTGCTGTGACCGTGCAGCAAGGGGTGGTGGAAAGGAGAAGCCGTCTACAGAGGACTCTGCTTTTGCGGTTAGGAGCCCAAGGATTTCTTGCATTTCTAGACTTTTTCCAATTTCATTTTTGATATGAAGAAATTGCAGGTCTTACAGTTTTAATGAGGGCTTTCCAGCCTTGCTTAAGAGACAGCCTCTAGCATGGTTTTGCTGAGGCTGTGTCTTGCAGGTTTGAGCCAGGGTTTTGCATTCATCTGGAGGCAGTAAGCAAGCACCCGAGATGATGCCACGGGCATGGTTTATATGGCGTGTAGGTCATGCAAACAGGCTTATACTGGTGCGTAGGACATGCAAGCACAGACGCTAGCTTACAGCTCGCTGTTTAGTTCTCTATTCACGGTGCTGGAGGGCTGAGCTTAACATTTGTGGTTTCTGGTGCTGCTGGACCCAGACATTGAGTTTCAAATCTTTCTGATTTTTCGTCGGTGGGATGTTGTGTGGCAGCCAGACAGGGAATCAGAGCATCCACAGGAAAAATCGTGGGTAACTTTCCTTTGTAGGCCCTAACTGAGTTAAAGCATCCCTGCTGAGAAACACTTAGGCACATGTTTAATACTTTACCGAACAGTATGTTTTGCTGTTCCTTTACATGGGTTTTCAGAATTGCCCCATGATACATTATATTCACTCCAGATTTCTGGAGTAAAGGTTTATTGCAGGTGCGGCACCATGCGTCTCTGGATGTTTGCTTGGAAAGATGCTTTGGTCTCCTGCCGCATGCCGTAAGGATGCGAGCACAGGCTGTGCGGTGCAATATTTAAAAAAAAAAAAGCACTCGGAGATGTTTTATGGGAATCTGCACAGCGTCGTTGGCAGCGAGCTGAGCTGAAGGATGCGGCAGGGCGGTCGGTAGCTTTTCACCACGTAAATTGTTGAAGGGTTTCTCCTTGGGATGGCAGATGGGAGTGTCTGTAGGACTGTGCAGGATTTTTTTGGAGAGGGATAGCAGCACGCTAGTTGGTGTACAGCTACTGAGTTGCCAGCCAGGCTTTCTGACCGGCCAAGCTGAGCCTGAGCTTTCCCTGTGTGCGTGGACAGTGTCACCGGGGCAGGGTCTTCTTTGTGCTCCTGGGTTTTGTCAACCATTGGAAAATGATTATTTAGCCACTTTCCGCATCGGAGAGCAACGTGCGTTGCCCTCTGCGTGTGCTAGCGCTGCTTTCTAAGGACCGCGACATGTACGGTAAGGAATTACTTGAAACAAGCATCAACTTTCTGAGCCTTAAGAGAAAGAGAAAAAAATAGTTTTTAATTTATTTTTTTTTTAACTTTGCACTCAGGCTATTTTAGAGGCTGATTTTTTAATTTAAATTTTCCACTTTTTTTCCCGAGGGAGTTGGCCTTAAATTTGTGAAATCTGTAGAAATTTTGGGGGTGTTTCAAAACTTCACGAAGCAGGTTGGCGTCCCGGTACGAGAAAGTTAGCCTGAAAAATTCACAAGGTGTAAAATGCCATTGACGGACTCTCTGTCTCTGCCATCATCCTCGGCTTCACCTTTTTATTTCCTCTCTCGTGTTGTCCTGAGAACCAAGAAGATTGTTTCAGACAGCTTGAGGTAGTTTGATGCTTTCCCTTTAGCGTTCCCCACACCGCTTTGCTGGTGGGAACTGGGATACTCCGAATTTAGCCAGAATTGGTTGAACCTTGAACCAGAGCCCTCGGGAAGGGCAGTCCAGCGTGCGGTCAGGATCAGTGCAAACTCATGCAGTGGTGTTGCTTGTGAGACCTTCACTGGATAAGGCAGGACGGGGTCTGCAGGGGCTTTGTTAAAAGAAAATTAATACTAATAATAATAATATAACACCACAGGGCTTAATGAGCCCAAAGCAGTGGCTCTTAAAGCTGCTCAACAGCTCCCGCTCTCCCGGCACCTGGCCTTCAGGATGGGGAAAAATTGAAGGGTCTTGTCTTTTTTTTTTTTAAATGCCTTATGATAATAATGTCTCTGAGCATCCCTGGCGTTGTGCTGTTTAACACCGCGTGGATAAAAGGAGGAACATGTCTTAGTGGGACGCCCTTCGGCTGGGCGTCTGCATCGCTGAAAGCCCGGGTTACCTGTCAGCCGCCGGCGCTGCCCCGAGCATCCCTGCTCGGCTGTCCGGAGAGTTTCACCAGGTCGTGGTTGCTGCTAATCAGGGATCACCTTAACGCTGCGGGACCCTCCCCGTGCCCGCTCGGTTCCTCTCGTTTGCACAAAATTTCACCAAACAACAGCGGAATGCAAAAAGCGTTTCCAGCCCTGCGAGGAGGGGTGGGCAGGGAAGGAGAACGTAGCCCTCCTGCGCCCTCCTTGTTTCTCCGAGGCCTTTGTTTTCTGAGAAATTTCAACCTCTCTCCTGTTGTGTGTGTTACTACGTAGGTTTTTGTCTTTTTTTCCCCTACCCCAATTAGATTTTGGCTGCAAATTCCTTTCTACTGTGCAAGTGTGTGCATATGTTCATATAACTGTATAGTGTTTACATAGAAATACTTAGTGTGTCTCTATTGTACACATATATAAATACCTGTGTTTTATGTTCGTATGGCTATATACTGTACATAGCGTATATACTTGAGCAATATAGGTTAATATATACTGTGTGAGTACATGTGCGTATACTCCAGGCACACGCTCTGTGTGTCTGTATATATGTAGTAAGTGCTGTATACACACATTTATTCACCATATATTTTTAATTCAAGTATATAGGCAATATGAATACTTAGTTACGCTCTCGGGATTTCTCTACACGTTTTTAGCGAAGAGCAGCAGCGAAGCTGACCTGGAGCAAAGCTGTGGCTCCTCTGCTTGCTGTGAGTAGGCAGAGACCCACGCAGATTCGCAGCATTGGGTTTTTCCTGCCTGCTTCAGAAACACCCTGTTCCTCTTCAGCTTGGTGCCTCAAGCACAGAGACTGTAGGAAAGTTGCTCCTTTTTCTTTATATGTATTTTAGTCGCTGCCCTGAATTGCTTTAGCCTGTAAGTAGTGATGGTTTATTTGCAAAGTGCCTGCCCAGACCCTGGCTGGAGGGTTTGCAATGGGGCTTCCAGTTCCCCCAAGCGCCGGTGCCCGTGCCGCCCGCCTTCCCCGGGCCGAGGCTGGGCCCGGGCGCCGCCCGCGGGGAGCACCTCCTGAACCTGCCGCCCGCGAGGTCTTCGGGACGGCCTGGGCTTGTCGCCGCGTTTCCTCCGGAGCGGGTTCGTGGTGGCCTTCCCCAGCGTCTCCGCGCAAGGCTGCACGGCTGCTTTCTGCGGGTGCGGGCTTTCCTGGTAGATGTGGCTGGGGGGGGGGGTGGGGGGCAGAAGGCAACCCATGGCTAAGGCAGAGCTCTGGGATTTATTGGGAAACTCGCATTTGTTGGCCTGTGAGGAGCTTTAAATCCGTGGGTTATTTTTACATAGATGGAAATGTTGGAGGGTCTTTTCCCATTAAAAGTAAGAGCGGCTGTTTGAACTCGGTCACTGGAAGCGTATGGTCTTTGCATCTCGTAGTCAGAGTTTCCTGCTGACCAGGAGAGCTGTTTGTTAGGGTCCAGG